AGAGAGAGAGAGAAAGAATGTTTGCTTGTTGGTTGGTCGCTGGAATGCGGGAGCCGCCGAGACAATGAAAGGGTGTTGTGGTTTGCGGTGGTACGGAGACTTAAGGAGCGAGGTAAAAAGATGGAAATTTTGCTTTGTGAAGATGATGGCTTTGGTGGTTGAGGATTGACCTGCGTCGCTCGTGACCTTGCTATTATTGCTTGATATTGCGCCTGCGCCCTCGGGTTCTCAGAGCAACAGCGAAGGGCGATGCGCTGCGAGACAGGCAAGCAGACAATAGGAAGGCGGTCTTAGTGGTCTGGACTTTCGGATGGAATGATGGATGGATGATGGAATGCGAGTGGCCAGTGACAGTGAGATGGCCTGTGATTAGGGTGCAAGCGGACGCGCAGCGCACAATCAGCTTGGGGGCCGGCTCTAGGCTGGAGCTAATGGCGGCTTTTGGCGTTGCACTCTGCGTGGCAGTCAGTTAAGGAGGATTACTGTGTTATTTGGCGTTGACGGCGAGGGTCACGGGCAGGCGAAGTTGGGGATGAGGGTGTTGACGATGCGGATGTGGTGGGCATCGACCTGCGTGGTGAGAGGATGGAGAGTTGAGGGAGAAGGGGGAAATTCGGATCGTGGACGGGTGGAAAAGTTTGGAGCCCTCGCGCAGCCATGGTGAGGCGGCGGGCGTCCACCTGTTTTGCCTTCATGCTGCCAAAGATTGCTAAGGTCAGGTCGGGGCAGACGGGGCAGTTGACTTGTTCGCACGAACCGAGGGGGGACACTGCGCGCGGAGTCTCCTTGTTCCCAACAAGGGAGTCTCGTCTTTGCATTTTCTGGGCGCGCAGCAGCCTGGTTTCCCATACTTAACCCTAACCCTGAGACGCGCTTTATTTTTTTCAGCCGAGCGCGCGCGCCAATCATACGCCGTTCCGCCGAGGAGCCCTGCACGTCTCCCAAATTGCGCTGCCCCAGGCTCGCCCTTCGGCCTTCTCTTGAGCCTTTGAGCCCTTGCCAGAGGAGCCCCCCAACAGGAGCCAGCAGCCCACAGACCAATTTGATCAACACACGAGGTGCATCCCGTCTGCGACGACAATTTTGTGCGAGCGAGTGGGCGCCCGCAGACCACTTGTCCAGCCAAACGCCCAAGCCAGCCGCAGGAAGCGCCAGACGAAGAACCAACGCCAGGATGTCTCATCTCATCGCCCTGATTTTTCTCCATTATCACACACTCGCCATCTGCAAGGACATCTCCAAAAGCCAAAATAGGCAAAAATATAGTGTGTGCAGGATGACGCCAGATTGACGGCCACTACGCTGGCCCGACAGAGAGAGTCACGAGCAAGACGCACAAAGTGGAAATTTCAACCACCGTCTCGAAATGGATCCCGCCCAAGCAGGCAACCATGGAGAAACTGCGTCAGGCTGGCTGCGCCTTCCGTCAGAGCCGACCGTTTTCGATCTCAGCCCAACGACGGTGGTGATTGGGCGGAACTATGAGGGTGCGGTACAACCAACGGATTTAGGATGATGACTGGAGGGTCATCAGCCCGCGATGGTTGCATCACCACCAGCGCTAGTCAAAGACGCGCAAAACACACTGTCTTAGGCCACACCCGCCACCTGGGCACATCTCATCCACATCCATGGCTACCTTATATGCCGCCGCGATACTGCGCCGAGAGATTCAGACTTGCTGGCCAACCAGTTGCAGACCTAAGTGAACTACCCCTAGCTTCTGCATCCTCACGTAGCCAAGATGTCTGGAGATTTCATCAACGATGATGAGTGTGAGTCCATCCATCGAGATGACATCATTTTGGGTGCGTCAATTTCCATGAGCGAGGAAAGACTTCTACTCTTCGATAAATTAACCTTCCCAGAACCATCGAAACCCGTCTTAAACCCTTTCACACTCGTTCCAAGGCAAGGCAGATGTCCGGCCACACCGATTCCTCGTCCCATCTCGGGATCCAAGACTGCGATGGATCGGCATCAGGATCGCCCGCAATGTTGGCTGTTCCAGATACTCCTTGGCATCTTGAAACGCCCAGAAGACAGAGCAGTTGCACGACGCGAAGGCTGTGCCAGGGATGCAGCATGCTGATGTCTTCCTTCGTCTGCCATCAACATCATCTGATTAAAGGTTTCTAAGTTATCCGCATTACCAAGCGGTAACGCTGAGGTTCGCTTGTATTCTCTTCCCAAGCATCAAATCAAGACCAGGCATTATACTTCTATGTCTACCAGTTTAGACAACGTATTCAACATAAGTACTATCGTCATAATAGACTGTGTCTTCATTGTTCCCAGAAAGAATGTGAGCATTACATCGTCATGCCTACCGGGCTGCAGAACTCTCCGAAGATAATACGCTCCAAATCATGGAAGGCTCAAGGTTCTCAGAGCTCTCAAAAATATACCAGCTTTTGCTGCCATACCGGAGACTGGTGTTTCATAAAAGTGATCAGAAAACAACCGTTCCAAGCCGCCCTTGCGACATTCCAAGAACCCGTCCTTGAAACAATTGCATCTATCAACATTTTTTCGCGTCCTTAGTAATGCATATCGACAGCTATGCTGCCCTCTGAGATGGACCCTGATCCAACAGGGTGCCAGAACGGCCTGCATCAATATCAAGCGGCTCTCTCCCGAAAGATCCCATTCGCTCTTTGCGCGACCCCAGGTATAGCAGCTCTGGCCGGGACCGATGCGTTCATACCTGCTGCTGGCACAAACACACTCGTTTCTGCTTAGTTCCCTAATCATCGCTTTCAGGGGCCCTTACCGATCTGAAGCTTGACGACCGTGCTGTTTTAAACGGCCAGCTGGGCCTGGCCAAAGCGTCAAAAGTCAGCAGCAACACTGAGCTCACCCCTGAGGAGGTTGAGCAGATGCTTCGGCACCTGCGGGTCCTCCATGCTGCTCTGGCCGCCTACTCGGAGGAGAAGACGGAGACGGGTCTGCTCAGCTCGCTGTTTCACCTCCTGGGCGGTACGCTCCCGCCGTTCGCGGAGCTGATCGAGAGTGTGCGCAGGATATTGATCAGCGACAATGGCAAGCTTATTCAGGCCCTTGCTGTTGCTGGTCTCCTGGGTAGCATTCATCGCTCAGATCTGTAGGGGATTGTGCTAACTTAACCTACACCAACGCATCGTAACGACCACTCAGACGGTCACAGTCGGCCCTACTGGAATCTCCCGGGCCTACTGAAGCTCGCACGAATTTGCCAGTAACAACTGATCCCACGGCTACATCCCCTGACTCGACTGCCACGGATGGAGACATCACTGTCACGGTCACAGAGGCTATCCCTGATACCGCAGGCCCAGTGACTGCTCTGGACACCACAACAACCACTTCGACCACAACAGTCACTGGCTCGGATGCTACGTCAGCTGGTATGGGAAAATCGACCACTTCAGAGGCTGCCCCAATTAGGGATGATTCAGCGTCGATGGCTGCGGAGACCACCTCTGCCCCTGAGTTCCTAGATGTTTCATTCACGGATCCGGTGAGTTCATCTGATTCGGCATCGGAGACCGCCTCTCTCACAGATGAGACCCCGGCACCGACGACTTCGGATTCGTTGACAATTACTGCTCCCACTTCTACTGTCAATGAGATGTCCAGCTCTGAGCCTACTTCCGATAGTCTGTGTCATCTCGGCCACCGCGTCAGTCACAGACCCGACAGATGTCAGCGAGGTTCCATCCGCAGCTGTGAAAACTACAACTGATGCTGCTGCCACAAATGAGGTTGGCTGCGACTTCGCCATCAGAGGCCGCATCTGCGACAGCCACAGAGATCTTGATTACCAGCAAGCTTATCTCCAGTGACCTACCGCCTGTACCGTCTGTATCAGAGCTCCTCACCAACAGCTAGCTCGGCTGCATCCACCAACCCTGGTTCCAACCGACGTCATCGTCACTTGCATAGACATAGCTCCAAGCATGACTATCTCAACTGCTTCGGATGCCACGAGCACGGGGACAATCACACTGTGGCCTCCATTCTCTTCATGGTCTACTGATTGGGACTGGCCCGAATCCACAGCCACTCCTTCGGATCTGACCTCCGCCGCTCCTTCATTGACTGCTTCCGCGGATACTTCATTTCCTATCGATTCTGCCACCACCACTGACGCCGCGTCTCCCGCTGAGTCTTTTTTGCCATGCCTGCCGAGTCAACCTTTACCCAAGAGTCGACCCCATACACCTCTGCTACATCTACAGGGGCCTCCAGAGACATTTCAGGAACAGTCTCGTCAGAAATTCGAACCAATGATGTGACTGAGACCTCTGGGGTTCCTACCATGTCGGGGACGGCTTTCGGAGTAGAGAGCTCGCAAGCTGCTTCGGGAGTAGATGCAGTGCCGCCTACTGATCTAGCTACGTTGGTGTCCGCGTGCGCTCCTTTCGCTTCGGTACCGGCTGCTGGTCCATTGGAAGTCATTTCCTGCTACTGTCCTCTCTACTGGGATGTATCCTCGACTGCCGTTACCGCCTCTGAGGCTCTGACCACGTCAGCCCCTGACGCATCGACCACGGATGCTGCCTCAACGGGGACAGAGCCGTCTGTGACTAAACCAACGTCCTCTTAGACTCTGACTGGACCTATTTCATCGGCTTCAGCGATAGAGTTAGATACCGTGAGCTCGGTAGCGGAAGCATGAACGGGCTCTGCCCCGGCTTCGATAGACGTGGCGGCGGCGGCTTCGACAACGGATTTTGAGCCTTCTGGTTCAACAGGAACTCCCTCCTCTTTGGCCTCCGACAGTACCTTCACAGATGCCGTTACATCTGGAGTCAGCACTGTCGACTCCCTGGCCTGGTCACATCAGACGCTTCTACGGTGACTGAGCCCCCTGTGACCACGGCAACTGACCCTGCCTCGGCAGCTACTGCCGACACATCTGTCTCCGAGCTGGCAGAGACCACGAGCTTTGGTCTCTCGTTCTCGCCATCAACCACAAAGACAGGTGCCTTGTCACTTTCTAGCATACACGAGACGCTCCCTTTGGACAGTACCTCGCAGGCTGCTTCATTTGTTGCGACTTCTGGGCCCTCGGAGACGACACTTTTCCTTACGGCTTCGGAGTCAGGTGTGTCGGATGCTTCTGCCGTAACCTCCCAGCCAGCGACGTCTGACTCTACCACGGAGAGCACTGCTACCCTCTCGGACGCATCAACCGCCGAGCCCTCGTTCGTGTTGTTGTCTACTTCTCCTGAGTCAACAGACGTTTCATCTTTCACAGCCGGTTTGCCATCAATCTCATTGCTCAACACCACACCCACTTCCTCAGCCGAACCGACACCTGACCCGACCTCTTCAACCGCCAATGCAGCCGCTTCATTCCCCAGCAGTGCCCTCCCAACAACCACCATCCCAACCAGCGCTGCAACAACATCAAACAACTACCGGGAGTGGCGGCACTGAGGATAGCGGCATCCCCATTCCCTTAAGCGTTACGAATGATCCAACCCCTGTCGCTTCGTCAGTCCAACCTGTTGATGATGCCATCTCATCGAGCACAACTACCCCAGACAGCTCCGTCTCCTCGCTTCCCAGCCAACTGTTAAGCTTCGTTGGGGATATTACCAGCGTGCTTCCTGGGTGAAATAGCACGAGCACGGTCTTCGTGACAAGCTTGCTGCCCACAACAACCACAGGCAGAAGCCAGGCCTCTAAAAGCTAAATCCCAACCGCCAAGTATCCCCATTACAGTTGTATTCAACCCCTGTGGAGAAGCCAACGTGGTAGTCTACTACGACCGGTCAGAGGTCACAGCCCGGATCAGCCTGCTAGAGGTGTGCCAGTAGGAGAATGTGGATATCGTTATTTTAGGGTTCGTCATGGATGTCCAGTTTGGAGGGGAATACCTGAGGTTGCAGATAGTACGCCCCCCCCCCTTCAAAGCGAAACCTGAATTAGAGGAATGAGCGCTGACAGAAGCAGAGCGTCTCCATTGAGCATTATCACACCGAAGCAATGCAGAATCTTGCTCCCAGGCTACATCATTATCCGACTCTAGAGGAACATATCCAGGTGTGTCAGATTTGGTATGGGAGAAAAAAAAATAAGAAAAAACCTTTCTTCGCATCGGTGGGCCGGAAGCGTCGTTGCCGCTTAAGTCGGATGAGGAGGCGGTTGTGTTTGCGGAGAAGATTTTAAGCTTTGTTTGGACCAGTCACGGCAGAGGTGGATTTGATCTTGCAGCCGTTCGGTGAGGCTGCGGTGGATGGGTTTGATGTGAGTACGCCGTTTCTCATTTCACTGTTCTTCTCCTTCCCCTCTTCCCCCTACCCCCCCCTTTTTTTATTTCAACGCTTTAATCCCCATCCTCCATCAAGAGATGCTAAACTATGTCCTTGTAAAAGACAAACAAGATTCCTGCGCCACCCACTTCCCCACCGTCTCCTCGGCCCTCCGTACACACTTCCTTTTTTGCCTCAATGACTTTTACCTCTCTGCCTCCCCTGCCAGCTCCTACCCCGACATGTTCATCCATCCCCGGCTACCTCGCCCAATGCAACTTTGTCTGGCCGCGCTTTTGGAACAATTTTTGTCTGCGCCGTCGGCTCGCTTGGGCTTCTGGATCATTTCGAACGCTGGGCGAGGGTGATTGGGAGTGCCGGGGCGCCAATGAGAGACGCGGGATGGATGGAGACGCGGTTGTTTGTTGGTGTGGATGCCCAAGCAGGACTCCAGGGGTTGGGGTTGGCAGGATTGTTGGCGCAAGTCAAGGCGATTGCGAGAAGTAGGTTTGAAGGGATCATGGTGAGGGATAGGCCGATGGCGATGGATGGGGGTCGTGGGTGTGGGAGTGAGTGTGCTGGGTTGGTTGAGGGGGGGCGGGCGGTTGGTGATGGGAGTTGTTGGAATAGGCGTAGAATTATGTTTTGTAGAAGGGGGAGACGTGAGGGCGAGGAAGGGGGACCATTTTCGTACGCTCGTTCCCTTTGGGGGTACCAGTTCTAATTCTATCCTGCCCAATACGCTACTCATCATTACCATTATTCATATTCGTCGTTGAAATCTAACCCATCATCATCACTTCCCTTTCCAACTCACCTCCCCTTATTCAACCGTCTGTCCATCTCCACCCTCCACTCAGCGCCCTTTTTCCTCAAAGCCCAAATGGCCACATTCCCCGTCACCCACGCAACCAATCCCACCATCGTACACAACCACCCGTTGCCCATGGCCTCAATCAGCGGCTGGGCAACCACACTGCCAACACAGCTAAAAATATTCCTCACGAAATTATTTACCGCCACACCACTTGAACTCTTCCGGGGCAAAAACTCTGTCAACATCGTCGTCACCGCCCCAAACACCAGCATACTCCCACACCCAAAAAAGAAGTTCGCAATGGTAGGTATGATGAAGTGAACCCCCTTCTGGGCCGTCCAGCCATACCAAATAAGTGCACCAGGGTACAACGTCGAAGCAAGCCACATATTCTCCCTCATCCGATCCTCTGGCAGATACACCAACTTTCCCGGCTCGTTAGGATCCCATCTCCCCGCCTTGCGTGCCTCCCTCGCCATGATGCGGTCGATCCACCTGCCGCCGAGCATCGACGCAGCGATGTAGCCTAGCGACGGGCCCAGATAGAGCAGGCCGACGGGGATGGGACGCAAATTGTAGGGGGGCGAGGAGAAGGTGTGCGATACGGAGATGTTCATGATGAAGAGGGAGAAGAAGGCGATGGAGGCGGTGTAGACTGTGATGAGTACGGGCGGGTGGCGGAGGTGGGTTAGGGGGTGGAGCGGGGATATGACGAAATGATGGAAGAGGGATGCAGCCTGGGATATTGACGAGGCTCTGGAGGTCGTTCGAGTCAAAGGGTTTTTCTTGTCGCGAGGGGGGAGGCGGGAGCGGGTGAGGGTTTCTGGGAGACAGAATAAGAGGAGGAGGAGCATGACTCCGCCGAAGATGGCTAAGAACCACATTGTCGCGCGCCAACCGAAGCCTTGCGCGAGCGAACCGCCGATGATAGGAGACAAAAGGGGGCCGATCAACGGGCCGAGGTAGAAGAAGCCCATTGCGCGGCCACGCTCGGCGGGTTCCCAGAGGTCGGCGATCGTGCCGGCACCGACGGCCTGTACGGAGGCGGATGCGCCGCCGCCTAGGATGCGCATCACCACCAGCATGGCGATGTTTCTGCTGATGGCGGAGAGTACGGAGAAGAGGACGAAGAGGGAGAAGGAGACGAGATAGATTGTGCGGCGGCCAAGGGTTTCGGAGAAGGAGGACCTTTTTACACGAACATCAGCCCCTATCCACGACGTCACTCTGTGCATAGTAAGTAAGATGGAAAAAAAAAAAAAAAACGTACCACCACAAAGGAAAAATCGACATCGCCAACATGTAAAACGCAATTGTCAGATTCGTCACCGTCTCACTCGCGCCCAGGTCATCCGATATCGATGGCAGCGCAGGCAGGAAGATACCCGATCCCATCGGGCCTGCTGCTCCAACTAGCGCAACGATTGCCGTGATCAGCCATTTTGTACTGTTACGATACTCGTACGGCGACTCAATCTCCGGAATGATGGCTAGCTGCGCGAGAAGACCGCGACGTTCATTGCGAGGGACGACACGGCTGGAGCGCGCAAAGGAAGAGAGGCGGGTGAGAGGTTCGTCGGTGGGGGGTTTCTCGTTCGTTTGAGAACCATTGTGGTGATCATTGTCATCGTCATGATGGTCGGTTACAGTCTCGGTATGAGATGTGTGCCCCCCCTCAACAACACCAATGTCTGAGACATCCTTTTCGTCGGCGCCCTTCTCCAAGTCCGTGTCGGCGGCACTGCTGTGCTCCCGACGATCCAGCGGGTCCGGCACGGCAGCGTCCTCGGCCCGAGCCGACTGCGTGGAAGAGGGCTTCTTATCCGGGGCCGTGGTATAGGGATTAGGGATGAGGTCATCGACAGCCATGACCATGCCTCAAGTGTAGATCGGCAGGGAAGTAGGGAAATCACACCATATTGCAGGAAAACAAGAAAAAGAAAAAGAAAAAGATCGGAATAACGGAATAAAAGATAAGGATACAACTAAGGAACGGACCAGGCTATCTCTACCGGGGTAGCTCACTCCGAGGCACCACCACCGCTTCGGCAGTGACCCAGCGGGGCGGGAATAGCAGGCCGAGGGTACTACTGCTGCTGCTGAGTGCATTGCATGGATGGGAATGGGATAGGTCGTATCCACTCGGAAGCCGGCGGTCAAAGCCAGGGCTAGAACGCTCACCGGGTGGTGGGTAGAGAGAGTCGGGAAGTATAACATCCCGAAAGCGGTGCTTAAGTCCGAGACCAACGGCAACAGTTGAAGAGGCAGCTTTCGATGCAGTTGGTTAACGATGGGATGTGAAAAAAGGAAAAGGGGGGGAGGGGTTTATTGGTGGTCCCATGATCTGTGGTCGTGTTTGGTGCGGTCAGACGTTGTGCTCACTACTGTTCTGTCTTTTTTCAATCCTTTTGTTCGCCTGTGTTATCTCCTGCTGTGTTAACTTCGGAAAGGCCATATTTGTTCTATCTTATTATGTCATCTTAGACATAGCACAGCCAATAATTCAAGCAGATACGGCCTATTGCGTAACTATCACTGCTCGTTGTGAGCTCATCGTCATGAAGGTGGTTCCTATAGCAGGAGGACAATATCGGCTCAGGGTTAGGGTACATCGCATCCACGGCCATCCGGCTTGGCAGGGCCCTCCGCCCCACTACTGCCCCGCATCGACTCATCCAGGAGCCCCACCGAGATTTTCCCATCTATGGCGGGGTTAGGGTCCGTATCGGAGCTCTCACGGCCGAGAGTCAGTGACAACCACACCACCATCACCACCCTCACCATCTTCATTCCGTTGCCAACCATTAGAAACAATTGATACAAGCCCAGGTTAGCCATAATGTCCCTGACCAACGCCTCCCCTCTGGACGCCGCCAAAGCGGCCAAGTCGGCCTCCCACGTCCTAGCCACGCTGTCTACCTCCGCGCGCAACGACGCCCTCACTGCCATCCATGCTGCGCTGACCGCTTCCCGCGACGAAATCCTCGCCGCCAATGCCCGCGACCTTGAGCTCGCCCGCCAGGCCGCAGCCGATGGCAAGCTCAGCTCTAGCCTGGTCGCCCGCCTTGACCTGGGCAAGAAGGGCAAGTACGATGATATGCTCAAGGGCATCCTCGATGTGAGGGATCTTCCCGATCCAGTGGGCAAAGTCACCCTCCGCACGAAGCTGGACGAAGGTCTCGAGCTTGAAAGAGTAACCTGCCCGATCGGTGTACTCCTCATCATCTTCGAAGCCCGCCCCGAAGTCATCGCCAATATCGCCGCTCTTGCCATCAAATCCGGCAACGCAGCCATCCTCAAAGGCGGCAAAGAATCCACCGAATCCTTCATCGCCATTTCGCGCGCCATCTCCTCTGCCCTGGAAAAGACCTCCGTCCCCAACGACGCTATCCAACTCGTCACCACCCGCGACGTCATCCCCGAGCTCCTCGCCCTTGACCGGCACATCGACCTCGTGATCCCGCGTGGCTCGTCCGACCTGGTGCGGTACATCAAGACCACAACCCGCATCCCCGTGCTCGGCCACGCCGACGGTCTCTGCGCAATCTACCTGGAGCAATCGGCCGACCCGGCAACGGCGCCGGATATCATCGTCGACGCGAAGACGAGCTATCCGGCTGCGTGCAACGCGCTGGAGACGCTGCTCGTGCAAGACACCGCGCTGACGACCCTCCTTCCCCCGGTAGCATCGGCCCTCGCGGCCAAGGGTGTCGAGCTCCGCTGCGATGAGAAAAGCAAAGCCGCTTTGGCTTCGGCTCTCCCCGATCTTAAGATCGTCGACGCAACCGAAGAGGATTATTACACCGAGTTCCTCTCCCTCACCCTCGCCATCAAGACGGTCTCCTCCCTCGACGAAGCCATCACGCACATCAACACTCACGGCTCGCACCACACAGACGCAATTCTGACCTCCGACAAGGCGCAAGCCGAGCAATTCATGTCGGCGGTGGACTCGTCAGGCGTGTACTGGAATGCGTCGACACGGTTCGCGGACGGGACGCGGTATGGGTTCGGGACGGAGGTGGGGATTAGCACCAACAAGATTCACTCGAGGGGGCCGGTCGGGTTGGAGGGGCTGATGATTTATAAGTATAAGCTGCGCGGGCAGGGACATGTGTCGGCTGTGTATGGGGAGGGCGAGGGGAAGAAGAGGTATTTGCATCAGCCGCTTCCGCTGGAGTAAACAAGAGGGAAGGTTACTTCAAAAAAGGGGGAGGGGGGTCGGGTTTGGAAAGAAGAAAAGTGTATATATGTAGTTGGTGATTGACTTGATTTAAATACCCATTACTCTAAGGTGCTATGTCTTTTGGATTACAAGTGCTAGTGACAATTCTACGATATGTACAGGAGCATTCAGCAAAAAAAAAAAAAAAATAAAATGAAGCTAGCCTAAGGAAGGAGTGAGGTATAAATATTACAAGGACCCGAAAAGTGCTCCCCCGAGCATGTCACAACCAACCCACGGATAACAGTAATGTAGTAATAGTCAGCAGACAAACCCTTGGAAGTTATAAGAAAGCAAACCAATGCATTAGAACCAAACCAACATAATAAGAAACACAAGTGCGTTGTGTGTGCATAGGTATAAGCATATCCATAGCGTAAACCCATTCATACCTAAACCAGCCAACCATACCAGCCAGTCAGCCAGCCAGCAAGTCATCATCATTCAATCATCCATCAATCATGTATGCATGCTATGCATTCATCATTCGATATCCTCCATCCATCAATTCATACATCCCATAATCATGCTTTCTTTCTTTCTCGGTAATCTTTCATTCTTCATCTCGTCTCATCTCATTCATCATCCCTCCACCCACCCACATCACTCATCTCTTCATCTCCTCGTCTCTTTCTTCATTGTCTCATTCCCACGCCGGTCGGTCGGTTGGTCGGAGGTAGTGGCAAACTCACTTTTCATCTCTCTTCCCCTCCCTTTGCTCTTTTGATTGCGTCTTGCTGCCGTTGATCCTCTTCCCGGCGCATCTGCTCCCGGCGCATCGCCAAGATCTGATCAAGAGTAATGCGCTGTTGATAGCTTACAGGTGAGAAGGGATCTCGAAGTGAGCCGGAAGAGGGTGTTGTTGTTGTTGTTGCTGCTGCTGCTGCTGTTGGGTGCCAAGCCGGGTTAGATGAGACAAGGTCTGTGTGGTTCGGAACAGCTTGGTGCTGTTGCTGTGGTTGCCGACGCTGACTTGCCTGCGAAGAACCCGAGCTTCGGGCATCCCGAATTATGTCTTCTCTAATCCTTCTCGCAAGTCTATTCCGCACCTCCCGCCTTTCACGTTGATTTTCCTCAAGAGACTGTTGCTGTGTCTGGACTCTCAACGCCGAGTTTGACGGAGTCGAGGGAACCGGAACAGAATCCGACAGCGTCACGCTCGTCGTGCTGGTGCTGCTCGAGCGAGTATCTGTCGTCGAAGTCGAGGACATACTAAGCCTAGTCGTCATATTCACGCTAGGCGTTGCAGTCGGGTTCCTGTCCACAATCTCCCCAATCCGAATTCCCATCTGGTCAGCCATCATCCTCCCCAGCGAGCTCTCCCTCAACCACACCGCCCGACTGGCCATGCTGGGCGTCATAGTCGACAGAGGCGCCGTTAATAGATCATACATGGGATTATCGGATGGGGTAGTGGCAGGTGGCACGGCAAAGGCGCTCGACAAGATCTGGCTGTTTTGGTAAGGAACAGCCTGAGGCATCCGAGGAGGTAGCGGTATTTGAAGCAGCGAGAAGGAGGAGTTGGAAGTGCTCTGTGTTGTTGATGAGAAGGAGGAGGATTGGCGGGAGTGTGAAGAGCGAAGTGATATTCTGGCCGACGACGAAAGGGCACGTTGTGAAGCCCGGGTTGGCAGCGAGGGATGCTGGAGTCGCGAACTTGTCTCTGAGGACAGTGTGGAGGATTGAAGTCGTCGTCGAGACCTGCATGCTTCCGATGATGGCAGCGAAGATTGATGTCTCTCGTGATGAACAACAGATCCTGATGACATAGACAAAGAACGATATTGTGTTGAAGAGGAGCTTCCCGGTCTGCTAGTTGAAGTTAACCTGGAAGGACTGACTGGCAGAGGGATTCTTGAACCGGAATTTCTCAGCAAGGTTGATCCATTACGCTGTCCAGATTGAGTGGGCACCGTTGTCGATGGGTCACTCAAGTTGACGTCCTCCGTCTCACCATCCATCGACACCTCAAGAATATACCTCGTCATCGTCTCAGTGATCCGCTCCACTTCAATCTGCCTTCTCCGAAGTGAGACTGAGTACGAGCTCGCAGTCCTCAGCCTCTCTCTCATTTCACTCGTGCCCCAGATCAGCCTCCCAGAATGACAAGATGGTGACGGGAGAGTGGATGCTCGTGTTCGAGGCTGTTGAGTTTGTGACAGTTTCTTCATAGTTTTGCCGTTGCACATCTCGACTCCATCAGAAGCTCTCTGGGAGGCTGATGCGGTTCGCTGTGTCCCAGTTCTTGAAATCGTCAGTGACTGGGTTTGAGACGAGCCTGAAGATTGAGACGACTGAACCTGCAGTTTGGCCCGTTCGCGTGCCTCTGTCGATGGAAGGTTCCAGGGCGCGTTGATCTGCAGTTCATCAGACGTAGGAGCTGGTCGCCGAGCAGGGGGTTCCGCAATCCCGGAAGATGCGCCATCATCAGTGCTCGGAGCCCCAGCACCGCCAGCGCCAGCAGGAAGCTCTGTCGCGGTAGACGCAGCAGTAGATTCGTCTTCTGGACTATCGTCATCCCCCGAGGAATCAGAACTCGTCTCTCCAGCTGAAGGATTGCTCCCCGCGGACGCGCCAGCACTCTTGTCTCCTGCGTCATCGTTTTGCTTGGAAGATCCATTGTCCAGAGGCCCAATCGAAGCGTCCTTACTCCCAGGAGCTGCATCGCCACTCGTTCTCTTCCAGGACCCAGGATCACTCGCAGCCGAGGTAGGTCTCCTCCTCCTCCTCCTGGCCAGAGGGCTGGAACTACTTACCCCAGCCGAAGGAGCACCACTGCCCTCAGCCAAACCACTTCCCCCAGCAGAAGGTAGCGCGCCCGTACCTCCAGAAGGAGGGGGCCCCCCCCAATCTCCAAACCGACGACCCCGTTGCTCTTCCTAAAGAGCCCTTCGCTCCCTCTCCCGCTCACCCCTCATCGTAAAGTACCAAAGCATAATCTTGCACCACGTAACGATGAAGAACAAGACGATCGCAACAAAAACAATCGCCATAAACATACAATACTCCCACACCAGCTCCAAACAGCTATTACGAAATCTCCTCCCCCTCCTCTCATCACCCTCTTCTCCGCTATTACTGCCACTACCCCCTCCCGACCTGGTTGTCTCCCTTCTCCCGCTCCTCACAACCTCCCTCTCCTCAGGTTCATCATCCCCCCACCCCCTCTCAACCTCAACTCACCCTCTCCCGTTGACTCAAAACACCCACGGGTACCCTACCCCCGATAATGCCCCCCCGCACCATGCCCATAACTCCCCATCCTCTCAATCGAGCTCATAATCCCACTCGTCCCCTGCCCCCTAAGCCCCATACCTGAACTCGGCCTGGGAACCCCACTAACGCCCATATTCCCGCTCCCCATGACCGCCGCACTCTTCGTACGCTCGTGCGCCCCGCCAACCCGACTAGGGGCCTTGAGGCCCGACGTGCTGGGGGCACGCAGACCGGATGGTCTTGAGCCAGGGCCGATGCTCATTCGGAAGCTGGGGTTGCTTGATCCGTTGGACGTGGTACTTCCGCCAGAAGCAGACGAGGCGACGGATAGAGGGCGGTGGTTGGTAAGGGGTGCAGAAGAAGACTGTCTCCTAGTTGGGGTCTTGCTGGGCACATTCATGTTCGGGGCCGGGGCCGGGGCCGGGGCAGGGGCAGGCGCCGGCTCGGGTTGCGGGGGGTTTTGCTTCGGTGCAGGGGTCGGAGGCTCCTGTTCCTCAGGCCCAGCAAGGAAGCTCTGCTGCATGGCCATCATTTCCTCGGCGAGCATGACGAGCTCGCCCTTTTCAACACGCTCACGCTCAAGCAGGACACGCAGCTCGGCATTGTCGGCCTGGACCGTCTTGAGCACAGCCTCGAGCTTCTCGACCTCGGCCTCAAGCTCCCGAATCTGGGCCGCAGCACGGGCCCGCTCGGCCTGGCGCTCTTCCTCCAGCTCGGCCAGCCGGCCGGGATCGATGCGGTTGGCGCCTGACTCGCGGGCACGCATCTCTTCCTTCTCGCGGACGAGATCGTCCACCTGGGCCTGCAGCTCGCGCACCTTCTTCTCCCAGCGGGCCTCGTAGCTCTTCTTGAGCGCGGCAACCTTAGTCTCGTGCTTGTTCTTGTACAGGGTGTGCAGCTCGCGGGCGACGCGTTCTACCGCGATCTCAATCTCTTTGTTAGAAGGCATATGTGCGGCAGATTTATCGCCCGAGGCAGCAGCAGCGGCCGCGGCGCCGGCCCGCATGCCCGCCATCTTGCTCTCGGCATCCTGGGCCATCATCTCAGCAGCCTCGCGGCGCTTCTCGGCCTCGTCGAGCTTAAATTCGAGCTCCTCGCGCTCGCGCTGCAGGTGCAGCAGTTCCTCGCGCATCTTGCGCAGCATGGTCTCCATCTCGCGGCTGCGCTGCTCCCAGCTCTGCTTCTCAGCCGCTAGGGCGTCGTGAGCGCACTGGACCTCTCGCAACTGCTCCATGCACTCGCCCACGCGCTTCTCGGCGTCGGTCACGGCTGTTTTCAGAGACTGTACCTCGGCCTCCTTGCCGCTCAGCGAAGCTTTCAGGCTGCTTATTTCCGACATGAACTGCGACTTGAGCGATTCCAGCTCGCGTGGCGTGATGCTCGGGATGCTACGTGGCGTCGGGGCGGGTGGGACGTCCAGGTCGAGAAGGGTGCCAGACCGGCCGGGCGTCGCAGCTACTTGACGGGAAGGAGTCGCCTCGGGCTCGTACCGGCCGCCAGCACCATATCGACGAGCAGAGAAGTCTATGAGATTTGGCGTCTGGCCTGAGTCGAATAGTCCATTGGATCGCGGCGTTCTCGTAGGCACATCTCCGGGTCTCGCCCGGGGCGTCGTCTCACCCGTAAAACTAGAGAACTTGGCCGAGCTGTTGGCACCACGAAGTCCTCCGATCGTGGTCAGGTCCGGGACAGCAGAGAAGGTACTGAACGAGCTCATGACGCTGTCGTTGGCAGCAGTGTGCTCGTCCATCTCTCCATTGGCATGATGACCATTCTGGCTGTTGCCATCCTGCGACCCCGAACCCGCCATCATTTTGTTATTATCGTCGTCAATATCGAGCATCATCTCGTCGTTATCGTCGTCGTCCTCGAAGATATCGATCACGCGCTTCTTAAGCTCCTCCGACACCGGCAGGGAAGGCTTCGCGGTGTCGCTCGTCGTCGACGACAGACGCCTCTCGTTGTCCAGAGACTGCCGCGCCGACTCAGCAGCCACTCCCGGAGCGCTGACCTTGATAGGGAACCGCTTTATAGGCGGCTTCCGGGGACTTTGAGGGGATAATACGCTCTTTGCCCCGGAGGACTGCGATCCGTTCTCGCTCGTCGACTGACCTTGCTGCTGGGCGGCGTGGTTCTGCTGCAAGATCTTCAGCGGCGACAGCTCGGTGCCGGAGATGATGCGCGACCCGGGACGGTGTTTTGGCGGTGAGGGGCCGCGCGGGGTGGGTGTGGCAGCCGTCGTCGGCGACGAGACGTCGTCTTTAACATGCGACAGAAATGGAGAGCTCTCGCCGTCCGACGACAGCACGCTGTTCTCGTAGAGGCTGGACCTGTTGGTGCTAGTGCCCTGCTGAGACGGCGGCCGGGCTTCGGACGAGCTGTTGAGGGCAGTGCTGGGCGTCGGTTCGAGTGGCGCGACCATGGCTCGTGGACGGAGGACGACTGGGTAAAGCTAAGAAAAGCGACAAGTGGTAAAATGAAACAACAATTCTGCTGCAGACCACTAGGGATTCCGGCCTAGCTCAATTGTTTTTTTTTGTCCGATGATCACTGGTTTCGCGGCGTATGATGATCTGCCAGGGGCTGCGGGCTACCTGCGGGTGCGCGGACTTTGTTTTGTTTTGTGTTGCCCTTCTTCGCTCTCGCGCCTTCTGCGGTGCTGCTGGTGGTCTCCTGCAGGCTCCTGCGAAACAACTGCACTGACCCCCGGGAAATTGCAGTGATTGTGATCATTCATGCTACCTGCTCCCGCCAATCATAGCCCTTCAAGCTGTCTGCCCCCACCTCCCCTGCTGACACCTGCGTGTCCCGGCAACCACACAGAACCCATAGCATCACGTGATATTCCCATCAACATACATGAATGAAACGGCCAGCGGCGGACAATGGGCGGTTTGCTCGACGGGAAGGCCGAGGGAACAATCAACAGCACGCAATCAGGAGCAGGCAGACACGAGTAGACACATACACACAAAAGCATATACTGACTTGCTAGGTAGGTTACTTTACTCGACATGCCTGCATTATAGAGAAACGCATCAACGCCACAGCAATGAACCGACACTGAGGTCTAACTGGCATCGTCCTCCCGTGTATCTGTGCTGGCAAGACCCCTTTTGGGGAAAAAAAAAGCTCCATCATAACGTCGCTACCGGAGCAGCGCCCTCTCCCACTGTCAGCCCATCCCTGCTAGGACTTTTGCGGAAAGAAGGATCGTTGGTCGTCATCGTCATCACCCGAGAAAACACTAGAAAACACAAAGAAACACAAGCCGAACCCGCGAGTCTTCAAATCATCCCCTGTAGGTTATTCACAAAAAAAAATCCTCCTTTCATTGAGGGTCCGATACCCGCCGGCGGAACTCGATTTTTTCTACACCATGACAAACCGCCGCTTTCTTAACGGCAGGCTCCCGATCTCCTTGTTCCGCCCATAAACCAACTCTCCGCCGGCAGAACCTATTCCATCCGAGTAAAAAAGAAAATGAAAAAAAATGAAAAAAAAGTCATCACAGCCGCCTAGGATCATGTCAGGCGGTTTTCATCCCTTTCCGTCATTGCCCGAAAAAGACCAGAAAACAGACAAAAGAGAAGTGGTCATCAGCCACCCTGAGGTAACCTGTTCAAAGCAGGATCCCAGGATCGTTTAGAAATTAGACCCCAACTCATGCAAGACCATCATTCATCAAGCCATATACAGCCGTTTTCAGAGACATCCAGAAAACGGTGAACCGTACTTCGCAAGCGTCCTCACAAAAGGAGGTCGCTGCAGGTCATGTTGAACAAATACACAAACGTAAAAAGGAGAAAGCCCAAACGTCGAGGTCAGGGCTGGAGTGTGCATCAGGGCGGCTCCATGAAAGTCATGTCGTCATTATCCCGTTCCTGTTCCTTGGTCCGGTCCCAACCATGCACCAACCAGAAAGAAAATAGAGGCACTAAGGGAAAGTGCTTGGCTCAGATGTGTCGGGGGAGTCCTATCTCCTCTGCTGAGTCGCCGCAATTGCCCGAGGTTGCGTCCGCGTCATGGGATTGCTGTAAGCAGGAGACGGGAGCGGGTTGCCGTCAAAAGTCTTGCGGCGCTTCATGTCACGATCATCGTCATCATCACGACCGCGCTTGACTCCTGCAGAGCCGTTGAGCATGGACTGCGGCGCATAGCCGTTCTGCATGGAGCTCGTGACGTCGCCCTGAGTGCCATAGGCGTCGCCAGAAGAGGTACCATTGGTGGTCGGAGCTCCCCGTTCGTTGCTCATGACGCTGTAGAGGCTGCTCGAAGTCTGACCAGCGCGCGGAGGAGAGTTGTAGCTCTGCTGGCCGTAATAGGTCTGCGGGGCAGCAGCCGAACGAGGAGTCGCCCGACCGGAACCTTGATGAGGAGAGCCAGAGAGGTCAGAGGAGATATGTGAGTGCTCTCCCGGCAACGAGGTGACGGGGGGAGCCGTGTAATTATACGAGCTTCTGTTGGTGTCATAGGCGCCGCTATCATGGGTATACTCGCCACCCTCCTCGTGATCAGAAGGGAGCTCTTCAACCACACCGCTCTGAACTACCTCGCCTTGGATGCCATTGGGAGGCTTCTGGTCGATGGGCTCAGAGCCGGCTGGTCGGCTGGATGGCGCTGCAATTTCAGTCTTGATGTAGCTGCTATGGCTGTACAGCGGCCGGTCCGGCGCGGACGTCGAAGTAGGATAAGTTGAGGCTTGCGCAGAAGGAACAGGATACACAGAGCGCGAGCTGTCGTACGACTGAGTAACAGGAGGATAGCTAGACTGGATGCTGGGCATGGTCGAGCCGGGAGGTGTCGTAGTGGGAGTACCGGGCAATGAACGGCCGTTGCTGTCGACCGTGGTGATCTGGCTGGTAGGCTGGCCATTGCTCAAGTTTTGCTGGCTCCACTGATAGTTATCCGACGCAGTACCAATGACGCCCGAAGTAGTGGTCGACGGAGCGGAGAAAGAGGGAGTACGCTGGTCGACAGCGCCGGGGCGGCTGGTCACCGGAGGAGGCTGAGAGACAGGCGGAGGTGCCTGCGGAGGAGCAGGAAGAGCCAGAGGATGGTGAAGTGGAGGGAGGGGAGCAGGAATGCGAGGCTCAGCCCTCGAGCGGGCGGCAGCCGCCATGACTTGAGAAGTACGAGCAGAGTTCGAGGGATGGCAAAGGAGGGCACCAATGTTGTGCACGAAGAGAGGATACAAAAGCTCTGTGATTTTCTCCTTGTTCGCAAAATCAAGGGCGCGCTCGAAAGGAATCCTGCAAGATACGTTAGCAGACCCGCAAGGTGCTAGCTATCCCAAATCAAGCAGAGCTTACCAGACACCCTTGAGGTGCATAGGACCAATCTTGACGACATGGCGGATCTTCTCGCTCTTCAGAATGCCATCGCGACGCCCACGGGTCATACCAGCGACGTTCAGGAGCTTGGTTCCATTGATCATGTGGTTATCTGAGAAATCTGTCAGTACCAAAGCATGCCTTCATCTCTGCAGTTAGAACTTACCCTCTCTGCGCGCGACGCAAATACCGCGAGCCTCGACCTGGAAGCACAGACTGCCCTCATCTTCCCACAGCGTAGCAGTAACACGAGGCTTCATGCCAGGGGGGGGAATCTGGCCGGTAGTGTCGAAACCAGGGGAATAGGTTGGAGGAAGAGCCGGCTGGCTGACAGGGGGGAGGGGGAGTGGGCTGGTCATCGGCGGGGGCATCGTCGACGTAGGCCCGGCTGGGGATGAGAGCCCATTAGCATAACCATAGTGACTGCCGTAGCCAGGCGGTGGCGCAGGCCCGTACTGAATTGGCGCGGGCTGCGCGAGCGGAGGCTGCTGAGGAGGAGGGGCATAATGAGGAGTAACTGGCTGAGGAGGCGGCGGCGGAGGGGCTTGACCGCCAGACAGGTGCGACTGGTAGTACATCTGTGGTCCGTTCATACTGGATGATCTATAAAGTGCGTGGTCGGACGGGGCGCTGTCTGCAGGCCCTATGCTCGAGGGGGGATGGGGGTCGATGTGAGAGCTGGTAACGGGAGGAATCGGGTTGACGCTGGAAATCGGAGGTAACGAAGGCAGTCTGTCGGTCATATACAGAACTCTTCGTACCCGTCCTTTGAAAAAAAAAAAAAGACTGGTGATAATGATAAGTATGAGCGAGAGGACGTAGAAAGTCCAATGAGTGTGGATTTTCTCCGTTTGCTTCTCGACTCTAGACGGTTCTGCTGTTGCTTTTTAAAGTAAACAATTCAGACAACCGATAAACCACGTGAGCTGATTGCCGACTGGATACAAGCAGCGCACGTTGAGCAATGCCAATGGAAATAGCACGAGTTGTCTGAAGAGGTTGCAAAAGAGTCGTAGCAGCGAAAACCGCGTCGTAGTGAGACGAAAGGTCGGAAGCTCGTGGATCTAGAGGCGATTGATGTCTACACGCTCTTAGTACGTGACCTTAGCTGACTTATTGCGCGTCGTGTGGCCGGCGTGGAGAAAGTCGTGCTCGCGGCGCAGTCGATTTTTTAGAGCCGGCCCTGCTGAGGCGGATGGTCGTCCGATATTTCCCCAGCCCAACGTTTGATTGTTTTCACGGCGAATTGCACACCCTACTGGCGACAGACTCGCACAGACGTGTCAGGCGTTTTCCAACACATACACAGTCGAAAAATCGGTTAAGTCGGCCAAGCTGCGAGGGATATGCAAAACACTATGTAAACGGCACAATTAGTATGCTGTTCGCCGGGAATGGCTAAACATTAACTGTGTTCTGGAGATGTGAAGTGCGAATCGGGAGAAAAGTCGACGGCAGCCCCAGCGCGGTGAGTTGGTATGAGACTAAGTCTGGTCTGATATGATAGACTGGATGTGGGCTAGGTGTTGCAGGTTGGGAGAAGTACGCGTGGCTAAGGTTTGTGGGTTTCTTCCTATCTAGCGTGGTGCTTGAGTACGCGCCCAGGACTCAACGCACGCTGCTAAGAGGCTGATAGTGTGATGGCGCGCAAGGGAAGATGCAAGGCGATGCAGTGTTGCAGCTTGTTGCTCTGGGGGAAGCCAAAACTATGAGGACCACAATGAACGTACCTTCCTCGCCTCTTCGTGCTTCCAGGTTTCCTGTTGCCTGCGTTCCTGCTTCCTGCCTCCAAGGGGAAAAAAAATTACGAAAGGTCGGGCGGTGGAGTGGGTTTGTACGTGGCAGTGGGGTAGAAGGAGGAGGAAGTGGGAAGGCGGACGAGAGGAGGAGGAAGGAGAGGGGAACGAACAGAGAGAGAGAAGAAGGGATGCGGCCTGATTTAGGTGGTGACAGGAAACGGGAGATTCAGTGGATGGGCCGTGGGCGATCAGCACGACCTGGGAGTCTGAGACCGGGAAAGAATATGGAAACAGAGAGCAGACCTTACCCAGAAGAAATCCCAGCAAGCTAACACACTCCTCACACTCCTCACTCCCTCACTACTCCGGTCCCCTGGGGCCGGGGGGGGGGCGTTCAGCACCAAGCTTGGTGTCGTGTTCCGCGCTCTGCTGGCTGGCCTTTGCTGGGCTAGCCCACGGGTGGCTCTCTGGCCCTGGTCGGTCCTGGTCGGCCCTGGCTGGACTGGCCCGGGCTGGACAGAGTTCTGGAGTAAGGGAACCAAAAATCGGTTCGGTACGTACCCTGCCCGCCTTGCACGTCCAAAAAGGCACCAAGCAAAAGATCACTCGCGCCGGGCTGGGCCGCGAAGGCTTCCCGAGAGAGAGAGAGATACAGTGCCGGAAAGTCTTAGATTGGTCAAAAAAATTCAGATAAAAAAGCGCAGGCGACGGGATGGGCGCCAGCGAGACCCCCTGGACAGTCCCGTCGATTCCTGCTGGTGCTGGCTGGCAAGGGGGTTCTTTGGTGTCTGTCAAGGTTGCAATCCCCGCCGTCCAAAGAGCTCACAAGCGAGCAGGGGCCAGCGGAAGGGTCCATGTTCGACTGCCTGGGTCTTGGGGTTGGGGCTGCGAGAAAAAGAGCTGTGTGCGCTGGCGCTCGCGCTCCCACCACATTTCGCGGATATCTGGTGGACCTCCGGATACACCAACCTCTGCCTCCCTTATCAATTTCGGATCCTGTTATTTAGGCTCACCACTTGGCCGCTTCTCAGGTCCAATTCAGCTGATATACCTCTCGTACGGAACGGACTGTGGTTGTCCCATCCTCTGCCTGCTCTCGGCTTCGCAAAAGAGCAGGTCTTCGTCCCGACCCCCCCTTTCTTCCCAACCTGGGCTTTCCAGAGTCGAGGCGGGTTTGTCGTGTTCGGCCCTAGTCTGCGCAAGTATCCCGGGACCCACTGTTGGCTAGTGGGTGGAGAAAGAGGTTGGGGTCTTGGCGCACTAAGAAAGGCGTGTACAGGGCCGGGCGGAGAGTGGGGTGCGCGGAACCCTGCGGATGTGTCACCGTGTAGCTAACGCGGGGACACTGTACATTAGATCTTAGCTAATCAGAGGCGGGGTTGGCTGGGATGGGACCGCGGACAGTAAATTCGTCCCGACGTCGCACAGTCACCGTCGCCGACGGTTGTGTGAGTGGCAGGTCTGAAGAGGGCTTTTGGGCTCCATGGAAAAGGCGCACTTTAAAATGGTGATACAAACTGAAGTAAATGGTCTCGTTTCTTTACAAGCTCTTTCATGTCCTGGTGATCAGTGTGGATTTCAGCTCATCGACTTGATAGCGATAGGAGTCATGTGAGCTTCCGTCCTACTGAACCATCGCCAGGGCTGACTCAGTCAAGTGACAAAGCGTCCTCGGTCCTCCCCCTCAGCATAACTGATAGCTTCGGACAATTGTGGTTTTGGAGCTTGGAGCTCGAGGTAATCTGCGCAGAGAATTACACAACGCCTGCCGAGTTTCACTTGAAGCTCAGGCAGGTAACGCTTTGCTTGCATACCTAGCCATTCATACCTAACAAGTCCGTACATATTTGTCCTTCCATCGTGCTTCCATACTTCGTTGGGATGGCACCCAAGACAATTGCTCACCCATCGTTGGCTACAGGCAGATGGCGGGATCCGCTAAGTTGTCTCCGGTCTGGTTGAATGCTTGCCTGCCAGGAATCAAAGCCGAATTTTCATCGAACAAATGAAAGGATCATAATCTGGCATAGTTTATATTATTTTTATTTTATTTTATTTTTTTTTTTGCTTGGGTTAGTATACAGCACCGCTTATTTAAAAAAATATCTCAAGCTGATCCTAGTTTTTAACCCGAGAGAAAGTCAAAGAAACCGCTGATGAGGAGTCTGTCGTGCGTCTCCGGAGCAGTGGGTCCAGACAAACTGCAGCGGTGCAGCTGGGGACGCAGCTCGCGATTCAGCGATCCCGCGACACCCCTCCCCCACCTTTGCGTCTCCAGATCCTCACAGTAGTGGTTGCGATAAACCACACTGTAATGCGACAAGGCATCCGACCTAGTGGCCTCAACAAACCTCGACCTCTGTGAAGGGAACTTCCGTAACGAAGCAACGAAAATGAGTGGAAAGATTTCATGATACTCTGCTTTGGCTCAACTGGAAGGCAGCATCTCAGTCAAACAACGCTTTTGCTATTGATCGGTCAGCCTCACCGTGGCATCCGCAAGCACTCGCAAAGAGCTATCCAACTTGTGGTTTGCTGATTCCACAAAGACTGCTTAGCCTGGGGGCCGCCATGCAGCCACGCAAATGCCATGGTAGTTCGTCTCAACATCCCAGCCCGACGTCTGAAGAGACGCGCATCCCACATGTCCACACACCAGTCGCCCGATTGGGCTTGTCTGCCCCTGCGATGAGAGAGAGCCACCACGATGCACACAGGCACTAAGTACCCCGGATAAGGGGATGGCCTGCTGTGAGAACACTCTTGCCGTCGAGCCATCGAAAGGTACTGCTGCAAAGCATGATCCGGGAAACGCACCCCAGGAAATCCTCCGATTGACCTCGCCTCTGCTGCAATGCACGATCGCTGCAAATGTGCGGGAGGCAAGAAAGATGGCATGGTCCCTGGTGAGAAAATCCACTTGACTGCAGACAGTGTATGCTCCGTAACATCTCGAACTATCGCTTAAAAAACCCAAGCCCGGCTCTCAGAGCTGCGCTATCTTCAGGAACGTCTACTTTGCGGTCGCTTTATCCACACGCATCCCGACGGCCACGGCCCGCTCTTGCTGCATGTGATCACCGTTCCTGAAAGATAAAACGCTCGCACGATGATAGCGAGCTGGTCACGTTGTTGACTGTGGATAATGTCAGGATTTGAGAACTAAACTGGCGTTGGATCCTGCGAAAGATTCTGCAAAGCACCTCGGGTGCGGCTAGTCTTGGATGTAAAGCTGCTCGTAATGTAGGAACAGGCTGTGGTGTTCCCCTCCACACGTGCGGATGGTTGCAAGGGAAGACCCCTGCTGTTGGGGTTGGCAAGTACGTATTGATACCTCCCTGTCGTCCTCCCGTGACAGCACAGAAAGGACGAAACAACGGCGCAATGGCTTGAGGGTACCGTTACGAATGACAATAGACACCATCGTCAGGAGATCAAAATGTCATATCAACTTGATTCGATCCCCTGTATCCCAGAGTCGCAGTCAACGTCTGTGATGCGAGTTCAACGGTGGATATGCGCCTGTAAAAATAGCATATGCAAGATCCAGTTAGATACATCTTGCCATGCGTTTTGATGCAGGTTCTTGTACCTGTAAGGCGCATGTAAGGTGATACGTTAACGCGTCCCGCGCTCGCAGGTATCGCACGCTGCAACACACACCGACACTTCGTCCTGTAATCTCGCACCTGGCAAAAAGGATGCCTTAACATGGTCTTCGACACCAGATGAGCAAGTAGATTTGATACCTATATTGGTGGTTTCTCTAGGTAGTTATTTGCAAAGTATGGGGGGAAAATAGCAAGTGGACTCTGAGTGTGCTTTTTCCCTTGAATTGATTTGGGACGACTCGC